AACTTGTATTCTCAGGAAAACACTAAACAGGTAATCAATTGCTTTTGAGGATGGGACGTTAAGGCGTCAAACTTTTCATATTTTGTCAACATATTGTAATTGATTTTGAAACATGTAATTCATACAAGTGATGTAACTTTTTCAATTATATATATGTTGGTTGTGTTTGCTTAAATTACTATTGAAATTGTGGTTATGATACTATACATGAAGTCCTCCACCCCCGGACGTTTCCGCCATCCTTGGTTTGGGGGTGTGACACTTTCACCTTGGGCTTGAGATATCCTTTCCCTGGGATCATCTCCAAGTTCTTTATGGTGACAGGGATTTCGTATATCCAGGACATGCCAATTTTCTGGAGGATCCTATATTAGGTCGACCAGATAAATCAATCAAGAGGTCTTGACATAGGCCCTTCTGAATTGGCTTATGTATACGATCTCACCGTCTTTGGGAATTCCCGCTTCCTCCTTTAGTTCAAGACTCTCAGATCCCCTCTAGTCTAAAAAACAAAGCACAATGAAGGAGCTTGGAAAGGGATATACTTCTTTGTAAGGCATGACTATGTTCCCAATGGGGATGTCTTACCCACAAATTGGGTTAAGAAGGGTAGGATTTCAATGTTTTTCCTTGTGATCTTGGAATATTATTCTTATTTTTTGTTTCTTTTAAGCCTTCAAATTCGAGTAACTTGCCCATGTCGCTGAGGATTTTGAAGAGAAAATCGAGAAGTTATTGGCCTTGCCTGAAGTTAAGAGATCCTTCCGCTTTGATCGAAGTGCCTTGCAGGAGAGCTCTTCCGCCACTCACCTCATTCTGACATGTAAGGATCTTTAATTCTTTTTGTTTATGATAAGGATCCTTAATAATCTTTTTACAGGATCCAAGGTCACTTGCTCCAGTGCTCACTTTACTCTCCCTGATCTCGATAAGGCCTTGTCAAGAGATCATTTGGCGGTGAAGAAGGAGAAGAGTTCATCTTCTCTTCCTTCTAAAAGATCAACCGTAAATTTGATAGTGAAGACTCCAAGATCTCAGAAAAGGAAAACTATTGAATCCACAGGTTTATCTTTGGAGAGCCTTGGAGTTGAGGACGCACTCCAAGAGTTGGAGTGTATGAGAGGCTATGATGTTGTAAGTGAAGTGAATATATAAAAAAAAAAGTGTATGAGAGGCTGTGATGTTGTAAGTGAAGTGATTAATGAAGTTAGAGTAAAATTACACAGGTGGTTTTCAAGGAATGCCCTTGATCCTTGCTAGGATCTCCGACATAAAACCTTGGGAGGTGATAATGATCACCTGCCTTGATGATTTTATTGAGTGAAATGATCGATTACAGAGAAAATGTAAAGAGTGTAAGTACAAATGTTATTGTTCTGCTAAGTCTCGTGTGTAGTGAGATGAATACAAGTACTTTATATAGTCAAAATATAATAATTAAAACTCCGAAAATTATGGGATCCTCCGAGATCAACTTATAGTCATTGCTTGACTTGGTCATCCGAGTCTTTTGCATAGTTGTAACGACTATTTGTTGGGAGTGTGACTTTGACTAGTTATTTATGCACATTTGAGAAATACAAAAGTATATATGGTCGTTATAAATAATAAAAATATTAGTTACGATCCTGAAGTATATTTGGGATCCTGAGATTCAAGGATCCTAAGACTTTGTGGATCCTTAGACTTGAGGATCTCAAAGTAGTTACGAGATCCTAGCCTTAACAATTAGAAGCACAAATTTTATCATAAAATTATCTTTGTAGTTACTTTTTTTAAACCCATCTTTTATTTATCAATCACATATTATTATAGACATAAACAATCCACTTTGTGCTTTAATCACATATACTTGCTATCTTTTATGTACAGACATATATTCAATCATATGTGATTAGTATCTGTTAAGAAAACATACATTCTATTGTATAGTTTTTTAAATCATTATGATTGATATATATTATAATCATAAATGTTTTTGTTGTTAATCACATCTTTTATTGTGTGACAATATCCTTTTCAAGTGATAATAAGTCATCATAACCAAAACTAGAGTGTTTCAGGTAAATTTTCTTTTTAACACTCTTTTAATCATATATGATTATATAAGGATTTTTTTTGTGTTAGTAGAAGTGAATATGTGTGTTAATATGTTGTTTTGGTATTAAATCTGCTTAAGTCAATTGTTAATCACAAGTGATTATTCATGTTTTGGTGTTCAATAAATATTGACACATGCTTAATATGGACACATGTTTAGTTGATCTATGCTCAGTTGTCTTATATAAATAATCAACATCAATTTAATATATTATCATAAAAAGACAAAATACTATAACAAAATTTTAATTTGGTTTTACCTTTTATCGGACAAAATTCTAAAATCTCCTTTAAATAGAATACAATTTCTTCGTTAATTTCAAAAGGAAATAAATCAAAGTTAATTTTAAAATATCACAAAAATAAACAAATATTGAATTTTTATTCTGAAGTATAGTTCTGAACCGTTATTCCGAAATTGATCTTCGTATTCTGAACATCGTTCTTCATATTCCGAAGTGATACTACCATTCTGGAATCACTTGTAATGGCTAATGTACATTTATCTCTCATTAAAAAAAAATGAGGTTGAACACATTTTAAGGTATTTATATGGTTCTTATATGTCTAAAACATTAATAAAAAAAAATTTAAAATTTTAAAAAAAAAACTGCAAATTTAGTCCTTGCGGTTTGCAAAAAACATTGGATAGGGTCCAAAAAGTTTCCGACTTGCATGAAAGGTCCAAAATCAAAACATTTCTGTGATTTGGGTCCAAAAAAACTTGAAAGGATAATTATGCCCTTTGATTTCTTTTTTATATTTTTTATAATTAATCTAATATGATTTTAATTAAAAACTAACGAAAAAAAAAGTATTCGCCGCCTCACCCACCGTTCTCTCTCTCTCTCTTTCTCTCTCTCTCTCTCTCTCTCTCTCTCTCTCTCTCTCTCTCTCTCTCTTCGTCTTCTCAGATCTCATGGACTTCATCTTCTTAAGATTTCCCTAAATTGATGAACAATATCCAAAATCAAGTCATAGAAAGAAATTGAAACCCGAACACACAGACACACACATTCACATTCTAACGCAAAGCACCCACATCGGTTGGAACCAATCTTATAAACATGATTGAGTCCAGAAAACATATATATTTGTATCGATTTCTTACACATCCCCACCCTAAGCTTTTTCACCTAAAGAAGTAACTGCAATCATCCATTGAAAGTCATCTGAGGAACAAGATTGTAGGGTTCAAATTTGTGGATGAAATCGCATATAAACTATACACACCAACAACAAGTACCAAAGAAATTAAAACTCATTCATCCCAAAATCTTTCCTCCCTTCTCTCTCTCTCTATCTCTCTCTCTCTCTCTCTCTCTCTCTAAAACCCTTCTTCTATTACTAATCCATGTGACAATCAATTTTCAAAAGAAACGTCGTAATACCGTCGATTCCAAATCAAATCCATGTACAATGGTGGAATTGATAATCATAACAGAATCTAGACAGATCTGTTTTTAGATGTTTCGTCTGCCACCTCCGATCATCGGATCATGGTTCTCAAACGAAGAACCCAAACAAAATTTTAAGGAAGTGCTTAATCGAAGTGGGTTTTCTGAGAACTTAAATAACTGAATCTATATATAGATCGATCGGAGATGGATATGTAAGGTTTATTTGGGTTATTTTTTCAGTTGGGTTTTTTTGTTAATGTGTGTGTGTAAGTTTTGTTTATGAAGATGATTTGCACGTGGTTATTCATCCCAAAAATCTAGAGAAAAAGATAGAGAAACATGAGTCTATGGTGTTACTTCTTGATGACATATCCAAAAAAAACTTTGTTCTTCATGGAGTTTTGTAACTTTAATGTGTGTGTGTGAGAGAGAGAGAGAGAGAGATGGGTAGGCGGGGTGGGTGGGGGATACTTTTTTTCTTTTTTCTTTATTTTTTAATGAAAATAGTATTTGATTAAATATAAAAAAATAAAAAAAATAAATAAAATAAAATGGCATAATTGTATTTTTCAAGTTTTTTTGGACTAAAATCACAGAAATGTTTTGATTTTGAACCTTCCATACAAGTTGAAAACTTTTTGGACCCTATGCAAAGTTTTTTTTGCAAACCACAATGACTAAATTTTCAGTTTTGTCAAAAAAAATACAAAATTTAGATATTCCAGATTAGTTCTTCGTATTCCGGAAATGATCTACGCATTCCGAAGTACATATAATTGTTTGTAAAGTAAAATGCAAGTAAATTAGAGATTAGAACTCATATGGTTTGTGTAATCCATGGTAGATAAGTTTAAAAACTCCGTCTAAAATGCGGGTAGCAAAAGCTTCAAAACTTCACTTTCTGGAATGTTTATTACCATTGTAGGGGTATGGGTCCCATATATATAGCATTAGAGGTTTTGCTCCTTTTGATACGATCTGAAATAGTTATTCTAAAAATTAAAATAATAACAATTTCTTATACAAAACTAGTTATTTTTTAGCAATAAACTAAAACATTGTTAGATTACTCAATTTCCCAAACATCAATGTCACCCAATAAACAAACACTAAATTTTCAAAAAAATAATAATAATAAATTAAAAAAAAAAAAAAAAAAAAAAAAAAAAAAACTTCAGGGGAATAAAACATATTGACAAAATAGTTTAGGGGCATGATTGTAAATGAAGTAAAGTGAACCACTTTGGCAACTGGCAACTGGGCAAGTGCACACATGTCATAAATGCTGAATAAAAACAAAATCCACGTATTTTTTTGATATTTTATAATGGGTATGTTCAGATGTATCTGTGAATTATTTGGGTCCCACGTGCGCATCCGCATGCTTTCCTCGATCTTTATCCTATACAATTCAAACAAACACGTGCTAATCACGTCCCACTTATATATGGCCTAATACTTGCCTCCCGATAACCTCACTCATCTTATTCTTATCATCACATGGCCCTCGTTCGTGAACGACGCCAGTCAAAACTCGGCCTCCGGTTGCAGGAAATCTCCGAGCGCCGCCCTCGTTTCCCTCTACCCCTCCCTCCCACCACCACATCCCAACAATCGACAACCACCACCGTCGCCGAATTGGAAACTGTTCAAGTTCTTGGTCACGGAAACGGCGGCACCGTCTACAAAGTAGTGCATAAGAAAACGTCTAACGTCTTCGCTCTCAAGGTTGTACATGCCGACAGTGATCCGATGATGCGCCGGCAGATATTTAGGGAGATGGAAATTCTTCGAAGAACGGATTCACCTTTTGTGGTTCACTGTCATGAAATATTCGAGAAGCCTGACGGGGATATTGCGATACTGATGGAATACATGGACGCCGGGACACTAGACTCGCTACTGAAAAACGGTGGGAGTGGAACGTTCACGGAAAAGTCGCTTGCCGACATCGCGCGTCAGATTCTCAACGGACTTAACTACCTCCATGCCCACAAGATCATTCATAGAGATATCAAACCAGCAAATCTTCTCGTGAACAAAAATATGGAAGTGAAGATTGCCGATTTTGGAGTAAGCAAGATCATGTGCAGGACGCTCGACGCCTGCAATTCCTACGTCGGCACGTGCGCCTACATGAGCCCAGAACGGTTCGATCCCGACACTCACGGTGCCAACTATAATGGTTACTCCGGCGATATCTGGAGCTTGGGGCTGACGATGTTCGAGCTTTACATGGGTCATTTTCCGTTCTTGCCGGCCGGTCAGAAACCTGACTGGGCGACGCTCATGTGTGCTATATGTTTTGGGGAACCACCAAGCCTGCCGGAAGGAGTTTCCGACGAGTTTCGGAGCTTCATAGAGTGTTGTTTGCAGAAGGATTCTAGCAAGAGGTGGACAGCCTCGCAGCTACTTTTGCATCCATTTTGTAAACAACCTGAAAATTAAGATGGACGGCGCCGGAGCCTTACCGGAACGGATGTTAAGTTTTTGTTTTTTTTTTTTTTTTTTTTATGTATATACATGATGATGAAAGTTACGATATGGGGAACATCGTGATCTTTGTTTTTTCAACTACTTCAATAGTTCAATTGTATATAAAAGCAAATTCAAATTCAAATTTAATTCTGATGAAATTTATCTTACAATAATTTTGATAAGAATATAATCATTTATTAAAATCATCCAGAAATGTTGATTTATGAAGAATTATAATAATAAAAAATAATAGAGTTAATCACTAACCTTTTCTGTCCTCCAATCAGAAGGCAGTGGGCGGCACCGCCTAATACCAAATTCTCTATAGATAATGACAAAACTTTCCAAGCTGCTTAGCCACCTCCTGCTTTCCTTTGCCGCCTCAAATAGCTGAATCATTGATGGTTACACGTAGAGCTTCTTTCAATGGGGCAGTTTTTTTGTAGGTAGGTTTCAATACACAGTCATAAGCTTCCTTGAAAGTGGATTAGGGTAATGTTTTTTTATAATATATTCGTTGGTTCTTGATTTCTTCTTGAGTAAATTACACGAATGGTCCTTATGGTTTAGGGTAATTTGCACGTTTGGTTCCTAATTTATTTTTTTAACTCGGAAGGTCCCTACTGTTTGTTTTTGTTACGCACTTGGTCCCTGTCTTACCTAAAAAGACTACTTTTCCATTGATTTTTTAATTTATTTAAACAAACACACCCTCAACCTCACCCCTTTCACTTTACCTTACATACCCCACCATTTTTGCTTATTTAAATAATGGTATTTTTAGATAATACAGGGACCAAGTGCGTAACAGAAACAAACAGTAGGGACCAAGTGCGTAACAGAAACAAACAGTAGGGATCTTCTGAGTTAAAAAAATAAGTTAGGGACGAAGCTTGCAAATTATCCCAAACCATAGGGACCATTCGTGTAGTTTGCTCTTTCTCCTTCCAACGCCTTGAGAACTTGAATATCAAAAAAAAAAAAAAAAAAAAAAGGTTTACACCTTGCCTTGTTTCCGAGTTCTTTTTTAAATTTATTAAAAGAACCTGAAGGAAAATTTTGAAGGAAAATTTTGACAGAAAAAAATAATGGTAAAGAAAATATTTATTATTCCGTATTTCCGAGTTTGAAGGAAATAAAAAGAAACGAAATGAAAATTTTAAGTTTTTGTGTTCCTGAGTTAGAAAAAAAAAAAAAAAAAAAAAAAAAAATCCTTTCCATCCCTTCACTTTGTGACAACCAAAAACTTTTGATTCAAGCAAAGTATATCTACAAATTGTATAAAACCATATCACAAAAATTGTTGCGATAAACATTGAAAATTTATTAAGAATGATCAAAAGTTTCTAGGAATTCAAATTTTGCATGAACGATGTTAGGTTTGGATTAACAATTTAAGAACCTCAAATTGTGATTGAAACACTTAAGTTGGACCAAGAAACCTTCGGACCGAGAACCTTATGCGAAGGGAGGGTGATTTCAGTCAACCCCTTGGTTTTCGGTGGCTAAAAACCCGAGGACCACCTCTTCGGTAGATGGGTTGCCGGTTGGGTGCAAGACCCGAAAAATTGACCATGAGATGTGACCACTAAGTTTTACACTCTATTATCCTACATACATCCATGAATGACACCTAAATAACCACCAAACATTCACACCCCAACTTTACATTCTATTACCCTTCAAACATCTATACAACACATCCCAATATCCCCCAAACATCCATAACTCATCTTTTCCTCCCTCCATGAATACCATGGTCGAGAGGCCATTTTTGCCACACTCCAAAGGCTTAAAATTCTTCCATTCTCCATATCTCTCGAAGAGAAGTTAGAATCTCCAAGAGTTCTTCTCCATCTTGGAATTTTCGGGTCTTAGGTAAGATAGTACACGAAAATTTAGCTTTTCTATGAAATTTTATGATGTTTCCATCATTTTTACACACATTTTCGTGTGTTGAATTACTAAGATACTAACACCCCCAAGAAGCTCTTCAAGTTCATACCAAAAGCTAGGTTCGAAAATCCTCATCACAACCACTCAATGTAAGCTTCATACCCCAAGTTTTCGTGTTTTTCATGCTTTTAGGGGGGGGGGGGGTATACAAGACAAGTTACGTTTACCCAATGGATATTTGCATGCATCATCTTGTTTGTGATATAAAATGTGCATTAAATGTTAAAGAATAGTATATTTATGTTCATAAAAAATCGTGAATTATATGTTTATATATGTCTAAGTGTGTTTATCTTTTGAACATTTTCATGCCCTATGGTTAATTGTTGATTATGGAACAAGTTCATGTATTAAAGTAGATACTAATTGCTCACTACATAAAAATCGAGATATAGATGATTATTATCATTTTTATAGCACAAAAATCATGTTTATGGGTGATATACATAAATATAACAAAAATATACTTATATTTGTATTTATGTCAAAATACGTTGATTTTTGTATACTTACAAGTCTCACTATGACAAATTTATAATTTGTATGAATTTTTGGTATAAAAATGTTGAAGACTCCACATTGTTACTCTTATAAAAATTGTGACTCATAAAGTTTAGATAACAATTTGATAAATATAAACTATTTTTGGTAATACTAACATAAACCGATAAAACATATGAAGTACAAAATACAAAATTATTTTTGCTAAAAATAGTTTTTCTAGTAAAAGTGGACATATTTTAATTATCACTATTTTGATGAGTAAAGCCCAAGAAAATTATGTTTTAACGCCTTTACAAATAAATATTTATATAACTATTTATATGAATAAGTCCACACAAAAACATAGAAGGCAAATTATTGATAGTATAAATTGTTTGTCATAAAACGCTTGTCATAAAACTCCAGTTGTAACTATTTCATGATACAAGAAAATGAGTCGTAGTTCACGTAAATCTGTTAATGCTCTAGTGAGACAGTCTATCTTCATTGTACCTACCTAACGTACACTTTAAGTCATGCATTATAACCAAAGTCTCATTGAGGGAGTGTGAGACCGTTGTGTATAGATCTATACTAGATTAACAACCCCGCACCTCAGTTGTTCGCTATAGTTAGACCGGCAAGTCTAGGGTGACAAATGTCTTCCCATCTCCGACGCCCGAAGAACGTCGTGCGGGCCACTAGTCATATTAACATGGTTATTATAACTCACATAGGGATTAACAACACTATCTTGGTTTACGGGAAGCTCACACTTCACTGGTTTTATAAAATATAAAACTACATACTATTTTTCAGTACACTATTCTGGTCTTAGTGTTTTAGACTACAGTTTTCCATACATCAGGGAATATTGGATTTTCTAGGGACATACATTTACAAAATACAAAGAAACATGCATACATACACTTTCAATCTTTGGTATAAGACATACAACCCACTTTTATAGAAAATATCAGTTTTTCTAAAAGCATACAAAACTTTTTACACAAAGCAGATACAAACCTTTTTCATACAAAAAATTCTTATGAACTCACCAACTTTATAGTTGACGCTTTTCAAAATGACTTGTATTCTCAGGGAACCAGTAACAGGTATTCAACACTTTTAATAACAAGCATGTTGCATTATGGACTTTTACATTTCAGTCGTTATTATGTAACTTTTGAAACAAATACATTATGTAAACATTGTAAGTTTGTATTCTTAATGTATGTTACTTGGGTTACTATGTTTCATTTATATTCAATTGTTGTGATACTATACAAAGACGTCATCCGCCCCCGGACGTTTCTGTCGTCCTGGTTCGGGGGTGTGACAGATTGGTATCAGATCATTATTTATAGTGAACTGGTATATCAAACCATACAGGATATACAACTATAAATACAATGGGACTAAAACACTCTGACTAAAAATATATTTTTTCTAAATATAAGTATGTTTATAAAAGTACACATATGTGCATACATACTAGGAATAGTGTCATAATAAACAAATTATAAAAGTAGTATGATAATTTGAGCACTACGGGTAGGCCTCGAGATATGTAATTAGACCTCTAAATATAGTTTGATCAACTATATTTATCCGAGGTGTGACTAGCATATGCTGGGAAATAGTCGTAGCGAACAACAAGTCTAACACCTACCAATACCAAGAAACTTTGGAATCAAACATAAACACTTAAAATACTATAAAGGTATTTTAGGATACCATAGAACCACACTCTTAAACCCTCTATGTATTTCTTATACCTCTATTCTCGCATAGACGACATGGCCGAACTTCACCACGAAGACCCCTACTACCCCGCCATGGCCACCAACGGATGGATCGAAGGGGAGCTAGAAGAGGCTCATGAGGAGAACCCATAAGAGGGTCCTGAAGAATACCAAGAGGTGGATTATGAGGGGGAGGATTGTGATGAGGAGTCAGATGAGGAAAAAGGCGATGGATAAATCATTAGCGAACCTTACCCCATCGGGAGCAGGAAAAAGACCCTTTCACCTCTTTCCTTCCCGGTATGTAAGCACCCAATTGGGGTCCTCTTCGGATGAGCATTCCTAGTAAGAAAATATTTCCCATGCAAGGTAAAGCTTCATTTCTGACATCTACCTCTGTCCAAGATGCACCTCCACAAGGGGTAACCTAGCCACATGTTTGGGCTAGAGAAAACGGCTGACGATCCGCGTTAGGCATGTACCCACTACACCATGCTCCGAGCCCCATCGCCCTCACAAATCGAGCACCACCTCCGAGTGTACCACAAGTGACCTAATTAGATACCCAGATCCAGGCTCTCCCTCATGGGGTAGTAATGTTGATCTTTTTTTGGCGTCAAGGACATTCGGAATTTTTTCTCTGATGATACTTTTTTAGTAATGGAGATTTGAGGTGAAGCCCGAAATGAGATAATGCGCATTCAACGCCCCCACGAAGAAAAAGAACACCATCCCGGAGTCATGTTGAACCAACAAGCAGACCAGGAGAACATCATGAACCGTATA